ACACACCCTCCGGTCCCCCTTCTTGTAGAGAGGGACCACCACCCCGGTCTGCCACTCCATTGGCACCGCCCCCGATCGCCACGCGATGTTGCAGAGACGTGTCAGCCAAGACAGTCCTACAACATCCAGAGACTTTAGATACTCAGGACGGATCTCATCCACTCCCGGCGCCTTGCCACCATGGAGGCTGCCAACCACCTTGGTGACCTCGGCCAGGAAGATGGAAGTGTCCGCCCCAACATCCTCAGCCTCTGCCTCCTGAACGGAGGACGTGACGGGGGGATTGAGGAGAACCTCGAAGTATTCCTTCCACCGCCCGACAATATCCTCAGTCGAGGTCAGCAGCCCTCCACCCGCACCATACACGGTGTTGGCAAAGAACTGCTTCCCCCTCCTGAGGCGCCGGATGGTTTGCCAGAACCTCTTCGAGGCCGACCGATAGTCATGCTCCATGGACTCTCCGAACTCCTCCCAGTCCCGGGTTTTTGCCTCTGCAACAGCCCGGGCCGCGGCACGTTTGGCCTGCCGGTACTGGACAGCTGCCTCAGGAGTCCCACGAACCATCATTGCTCGATAGGACTCCTTCTTCAGCCTGACGGCATCCCTTACTGCCGGTGTCCACCACCGGGTTCGGGGATTGCCGCCGGGACCAGCACCAGAGACCTTGCGACCACAGCTATGAGCCGCCGCATTGGCGATAGAGGAAGAGAACATGGTCCACTCGGACTCGATGTCCCCCTCCTCCGCCGGGACCTGGGAGAAGCTCTCCCGGAGGTGTGAGTTGAAAGTCCGTCTGACAGGGGGCTCCGCGAGACGTTCCCAGCAAACCCTCACTATACGCTTGGGTCTGCCAGGTCTGACCGGCTTCTTCCCCTGCCAGCGGATCCAACTCACGACCAGGTGATGATCGGTTGACAGCTCCGCCCCTCTCTTTACCCGAGTGTCCGAGACACGCGGTCGAAGGTCAGATGATACGACAACAAAGTCGATCATCGACCTCCGGCCTAGGGTGTCCTGGTGCCACGTGCACTGGTGGACACCCTTGTGCTCGAACATGGTGTTCGTGATGGACAGGCCGTGACTGGCACAGAAGTCCAACAACTGAACACCACTCGGGTTCAGATCAGGGGGGCCGCTCTTCCCGATCACCCCTCTCCAAGTGTCACTGGCATTTCCCACATGGGCGTTGAAGTCCCCCAGGAGAATAACGGAGTCCCCGGGCGGTGCACTGTCCAGTACCCCTCCCAAGGACTCCAAGAAGGCCGGGTACTCTGCACTACCGTTAGGCCCGTAGGCCGTCACAACAGTGAGAGACTTGTCCCCCCACCCGGAGGCGGAGGGACGCGACCCTCTCATTCACCGGGGAGAACTCCAACACGTGGCGGCTGAGATGGGGGGCAATGAGTATGGCCACCCCAGCTCGCCGCCTCTCCCCGCGGGAAACACCAGAAAAGGGGAGCGTCCAACCCCTCTCAAGGAGTTGGGTTCCAGAGTCCAAGCTGTGTGTGGAGGTGAGGCCGACTATATCTAGTCGGTATCGCTCAACCTCCCCCACAAGCTCGGGCTCCTTCCCCCCCAGTGAGGTGACGTTCCACGTCCCAACAGCCAGATGTTGGGTGTGTGGACTGGGTCGTCGAGGTCTCCGCCTTCGACCGCTGCCCAGTCCTCGCTGCACCATGCCACCACGGACCCCTCTGCAGGTGGTGGGCCCACAGGAGGGACTGCCCACGTCATCCCTTCGGGCTGAGCCCGGCCGGGCCCCGTGGGCTAAGGCCCGGCCACCAGGCGCTCGCTTGCGAGCCCCGACCCCAGGCCTGGCTCCAGGGTGGGGCCCCGGCTGCGCCATGCCGGGCGACGTCACGGTTTTTGTTGTTGTGCTGTCCATGGTTGGCTTCGGACTGCGCTTCGTCTGACTCGTCACTTGAGACCTGTCTGCCATGGGAGGCCCTACCAGGGGCATGAAGCCCCAGACAGCATAGCTCCCAGGATCATCCGAGTGCTCAAACTCCCCCACCACGTTAAGGTGGCAGTCCAAGGGGGAGATTAGAAGGTCCATTATGAAAAAAAGAAAAATTAAGAATACATCTGTAATACTTGTGCTTCACAACTAAAAGGTCGGTCTCTAGTTGCCCCTACCACTAAAATCATGTACAATAGGTTGGAAGGTAATGAGGCTTTGAAAACCCCAGGTTGAACACCTGGGGTTTCTCTTCTGTCATTACAGTGTATGGAGGGAATGGAAATTACCTTAAATTGTAAAGCACTTTGTGTGATCTTTGTCTGTGAAATGCGCTGTATACATTTTAAAAGAAAAGATTACTGACTCAGGGACTCGTGCTCTGTGTACTGGGTCCAGCTCTGACTGCCACCCCCCCGACCCAGAAGTGGATTAAGGGGAAGAAAATGGATGGATATAGGCCTTTCGCGATATTCAATAAATCAATTAATCGCATGATAATTAAAATTAGCTTGATATTTTTTCAGGCCGCAGTAATGGCTAAATTATTTATGTTAATTTTGTTTTTCAAAGTATCCAATCAGAAAGCAGTAGGTCTTTCATTTGGGTTGCCAGGTTCTGGCTTTTGGGTCTGTACTAATCTCAGAGTCACACACCTTTGCTTTTAATTTTTACAGCAGTAAGAGCAAAAAAACGACATGCTGTTCCATTAATCTCTAAATTGTAAAAAAAAATAAAATAAAAATAAAAAAAAAGGCCAACGAGGATAATAATGACAATAATGGGCTGTATAAAAATAAACCAATTTGATTTGGGTTTGGGGCTTATAACTGAATTGTTTTCTGTCTTAACAAATACATATTTATTCTTACATACTGTAACCTGCTTACATGTGTTTTCATTATTATAGGTTCCTTGCTAACAAAAAGGTATGAGATTTTCTTTTCAGATTTTCCAAGGCTTCACAAAGGTCACTGAGAAAATATATATCTGAAAATCCTTTCACGTCTATAGCCTCTTACACTTTAATTGTAGCCAGGGGAAATTGCTGCAAATGGACGTGCGTCAGTCCTGGACTCATCTCTGTCTGTCCGAGGGAGTGGGTCTGTCTTTCTCTGGGTCTCCTTCCCAGTTTTATATTTTTCTCTCCGGGTTTTTTGGAAGAGAGTCTATGGGAAGGAGGCTCCTTGACATAATTTCATTCATTACATAAAGCTGGGGTACGGTGGCTGAGTGGATAGCACTCTCGCCTCTCAGCAAGAAGGTCCTGGGTTCGAATTCCGGTTGGACCAGGGCCTTTCTGAGTGGAGTTTGCATCTTCTCCCCGTGTCTGCGTAGGTTTCCTCCGGGTGCTCCGGTTTCCCCTACCACTAAAAATATGTACAATAGGTCTGGCATGTGCCTCCTGTACTGGCACCCCCACTCCCAAAAATAACAATTGTAAACCGCTTTGAGACTCCGATGTGCAGTGAAAAGGCGGTATATAAATAAAGATTACTTTAAGATAACACATTGTTTGCCACAACAGAAAGTATTTTACTATCAGACTTTCTGTAATAATAAAATCTTGTGAACAAAACAGACCACAACTTCATACATTAGGTCTTAATCTTATCAGAAAACGTTGTGTTTTGCAAATTTGATTTTCACATTTGTTATTCATGGAAACTAGCTGTTTAGCTGTAATCTGATTCAGAACATATCTGTCTTTGAGGTTAATGTCTCTGTACATTGTCTCTTCAAATAAAGACTAAACTAAAACAATCAAAGAAAATCTAAAGTTTTTCGATACTACAAACGTTCATTATAACATGACCCTTTGCTGTATGTTTATCTAATAAATATGGACAAAATTACGTTTATTTCTATGTACTCGTGACTCGTAGCAAAACGAATGTATATTGAAGCCTACACAATGCAACTATAAATGAAGTACGCAACTTTTTGTACTTACAGCATGTCTGATTTGTTGATATCCATAGACTTTTAACAGACCGTTTCTGTTAACATAAAGTATTCATGAACAAAGTTAGATACCGCAGCTTTGACAAAAAAGTGAGAGAAATAAATATCCTGTTTGTTCGACGGACTTCGGCCATTCCAGCTCTTGTTCTAGTTCAAGTCACTCTAAAATAAAAGAGTTGGGTTAATATTCACCTTACATATGTGCAAACGCAGATGAAGGAGACTCGCGTTCAGGTCAAATCCTCCTCTTCCTCACAGGGGGCCTACACACGTGTCAAAAGTCGCCCCCTAGCGGACATTCCACATACAACATATTACCACACGCTATAACGTGGATTGGCTAGCATGGGAGAAATCTGCACATATGAAAATAATATAATAATAATTTTTTTTTAAACATACATGCATGGGAACTAAGAAAACATGGGTTGTGTTTTGCCATGACGAACATTAAAATTGAGATTGAGAAAATGTACATCTGCAAACAGACATCAGAGGAAGGTTTGGCGCTAAAACGTACATTAGCCGTGCGTCTTGGTGAAACCGTCTTGCCGAAGCGCGTATCTGTGAGAGGTGTGGGTTCGCCTCGCCCCTCCCCTGTGTGTGCCCTGTGCCTGAGCTGCTGGTCGCTTTGGCTGCTCTCCTCACTCGCGCTCGGAGCTTGAGAGAGGAGCAGAGAGAGGAGAGAGGAGCAGAGAGAGGAGAGGAGAGGTCTCTGATTGGACAGCCTCGATCCCCGTGTGCATGTTTACACCTACGGGCTCAGTGGAGAGACGACACCGCCGCTGGAGAGGACGCGCGCCCGGGAACCAACTCTTGTTTCTCTCTACTTCACCAACAGCGCTGGCCATAAGTTTTCTATCACGGAGAGTTGTCAGCTGTTAAACTTTTGGGTGACTTTTGTTGTCAGCACTCATGGCTTATTGAAGGCTATTACGGCCGGGACCTGCACACGAATACACCGAGGAGGAGTTCCAAAGGGTTTTATATTTCAGAGAGTGGCACACAAGGAGCACTTCTTGAACCGGTCATTACAGAAATCACAGGCTTCGCTATGTCTTTCCAGGCTGCGTGATGGATGTGCACTGAGCGGGTTGTCTGCGTGCGTCAACCAGAGAACAAGAGTGAACTATTTCCACAAAGTAAAACAACTATAACTGTAAATACTGCACTCTCGACATTGTGCAGTGTGTGAGGACTGCCAGTGGCGCCTGTGCCACAGAGCCGCTCTGAAAGCAGCACCACGCTGTCTGCTCATCCAGGTACTGTCCTGCTCGGAGCGGCTGGGAAAGATGCCCTGTGTACGGATGAGGTTCGGACCACAACTTGGTCTTGTGGCTCTTCTCCTGCTGCTGGGCTGCTACTGCGTGTCTGCCACAGGTAAGGCTGTTCAGACATGTCATAGTTTGGTTGTAGTTCAATACTGTTCCATTTACGCACACTGAACACTTTTGTGATTATATGAATGGGATTTGTGCAGTGGCTGTGTTTTCCTGATGCTTTTTGGAACCTTGGGTCCAGAGGTCAAAAAAGTATCTTATCTGTCATCTCATGTCCTTCTCTAAAATGCCCGAAGTATCTCGAGAATGTTGTTCCAGACCACTTCAGCCAAAACATGCTGCAGGCGTCTTGTGCGTTTTGTTCACTGCGTGATCAAAACAAAAGAAGTAGAACACTTTATTGCATCCAATATAAACTCCACAAGCCGAGCTTTATCATGACCACAGTGTTTTGCAGCGGCGCCGAATGCTTGAGGGTCACAGTCTTCTGTTTTACAGTGGGGCTCACAGCTCTTGTCTAGTGGAAAATCAAAGTCCCCTGGTGTGAAGGGAGTAATTACGCTTTTACTCGATGCTGTCTTTGCTTTTCCAAAACGAGAGCCAAGAACCCAGACATACAAGTCTTCAGGTGCTGAATTCTGTAATAGCAAAACACTAACGTGGTTTAGGGTCAAAGGTTCCAATCCTACTGAAAGATATCAGATATACCTTTATTAGTTATATATTTAGAATTGGATTCTCATAGCTGGTGCTATGAGACTTGGGTGGCATCTCTGACTGCCACCCCCCTGCCCCAGAAATGGATTAAAGGGTAGAAAATGGATGGATGGATGGATGGAAATGGAACTCAAATGTCATGGCGGCGAGCCACTATTAAAGCAACATCATTAGTAAATGCGATAAAAATATAATGAGATGTACTATTGCAAATTATTGACCACAATATTGACGTAAATGGAAACCAAAATCCTTATTAATGTACCTGTTGCTTTGAAATAATTTGAACATAAATAATTATTCTTCTAACTCTAAACATATTTAATTATTTGACAGAACCAAGCCCACCTTCACTTGGTCAATGGCATTAACGAAAACATATTCAGCACTAGCAACACACTTGTTGACCCTATTTCATCAGTAAATAACTGGGTACCTTGGCATTATAGGTCATTGGACAACCATGTATTTGAATGAGAGATTAACTCTTGCTTTGACCTACTCCTGGACTGTCCCGGACCTCTGCTGCCGCCCTCTCTCTGGCTTCCCAGATCTGATTGAAACACAAAGCAGAAATCTGGCGGTTTAGTGGATTGTGGCTTTAAGCTCATTTTACACAGGGAAAAAAGAACAATGTCGGCCACAAAAAGACAAGAAGCTGTTTATGCATAAATGCCACTTCGAGGAACATCACGACAATTTCATATCACCCCTGTGCCAAAGTTTGTGCATTTACCGTGACTGTTTATAAGAAGCTGTACCTCCACGGTTCCTCCTTGTCTTGATGTATTATTCCCTGAACAGTGCGAGCAGAAAAGCAGCTTATGTTTATTCAAATTGTGGGCCATTCTGAAATCCCTGCATGTTGAAGAAATGAGAAGCAATGATATAAATATTAGGAATTGCACAGACAAGAGGATTGGGGGGGGGGGGGGGGGGGGGGGTACTGAGTATGGAGCAGCAATAGGTCACTAATAACTTGAGATTATCGGCACACTTCAGAAATGGCGATATTGCTAAATAAATGTCACTATGGCTCTTTGAAATAAATGTATTTCCCATGTGAATATTCATCTCTTTACAGTGCTTAAAACTAACAATTTATAACTGTCTACAATAACATATTTTTTATTATTTTATTATTTATTTCATTCATTCAAAAGTGACATCATGCAATCACCACAAGACCGCCAATCCAACATAGCATGAATGAAACGGAGCAGAGGAGAAGAACAAGTCTTATAATATATAACATATATTGATGCAATAACTGGATAAAATATATTGATTTAGTAACTGTTCAGACAGTGGGTCACAAACTTGGAGGAATTAACTCTCGACTCTCCAGTTGAGTAAAATATTGCATTTGAAAAGATCACGCATGAAAAAAAAAAGTTTTATTTTCATTTAATCTTATTTGGGCCTGATGTCACATACATACTGGAATGTGGTGTAAAATAATCTGTGAAATACTGTGAAATTTTTAAGAAATGTAAATAATGTTTGAGTTACAGTATGTGGAAGGGTTACTGTTATCAGTGTTTTTTCACCTGATCTTATTGTTCTCTAAAGAACATTTACCTACAATGTAACAAATGCTGAAGGGAACTGATGTATTTTTTCCTGGATATAAAACTTGTGAACGCTGTGAAAATGTACTCTGTGTAACAACAACATCAACATATCTTCTGCTGAGACACAATCCAGAATCTCCACATCATTTGTCATTTTTGCTAATATTTCCTTGATATTCACTATTAGAACTGTCCTTTTTGCATTCAGGTGAACCACGGTGTGTGCCCCAGTATAGTTTGAGTCGGATGGATATATTTAGGCATGGCATGATGGCAAAGACAGGACTACATCTATCTTCTCTGCCTTTTTATGCTGGAGCTTCTTTCTCTGTTGTATTGTGGATGTGCTGAGCTCATGTTTCTTCCATAGTGCTCCTCTTTTAGCGTTGACATACACATTAATTACCCCGACATGTCTGAAGCTATACAAGGCGGATGTCCACTCGTGTTATTATTAATGACTTCATCACAGCTATAGTGACATACGGGAAGTTGGTTTTCACATTTGAGTCTGGGATGTGAGGCCTCTTCAGGGGAGGGAGGGGGGCAGGGGGTCCAAGGAGGTCACAGCGGAGGAGCAGAGCGGAGTGTTCAAAGTCATGAAGCGTAGCATGTCGGACACTCCCACAGATGAAGGCTGACACTTTGTAGATGTGCTGTCTTATGTGTGTCGAGTGGGGGAATCCAACTGAACACATTGTGTAACAGTGGGCGCAAATTTCACCACGGGAAAAAGAAAGACACACTTAATCACGGCGGTTGTTTTGGCATTCATTTATTTGTGTTTGAACTTAAAATTAAAATAAGGTTAGTACAACAATTAGATTTAACTAATGCTATTCACAACTAATCAATCACTAAATGTGTTGAAAACTATTTCCATTATGGATTAAACTTTGTTTAACCTTATAGACTTAAATACAATTGATAATTCTTTAATGACTGCAGACTGAAATTAAAATGTGTTTACAAAATATTTTTCATCAAACCCTCAAGTTACACACAAGTCCTTTCTATGAAGATGTTCTACAGAGGTTTGTTTTAGTCAGATGTATTAAAAAAATACCATATTCACCGACGTTTCGAGATCGAAACAACTAAGCAATTAATCAAAATAATAATCTGCCAACTAATCGAGTATCACAATATTTTTTTAATGTTTATAGTAAAATAATAATCCTTGGTAGTTGTCCAAAATGTATAGTAAGAATAAATATTTGTATGTATTTTCATTCATTCTTATATTAGTTCATATTTGCACAAAAATATCTATCAGTGTTTATTTCATGAATGACCTTAGCCACGGAAAAATAGAGAGAAGCTAAGACTGACATCAAAGCTGGTTCCTGATTGTCGAAGTGAGAGGAGGAAGTGGATATTTAAATCCACCTAATGTGTTCCTATCTCTCACAAAGCTTTTGGCACCACATTCACATGCATGAATTTAGTCTAGCATAGGCGTAGGGCAAATTTTTTCACCCACAAAAGTGAATCAAGATGGATTACACCTGCCCCAGCCAATCAGATCTGTGTGCAATAGTTCAACGTTTTATATTTTAGCCATTGTATTTTTGTCACAACGTCCTGCATTCCACAAACTGTGGAAAATGAAATACAATGAATAAATAAGATTCCCCATGTTTTATAGTAGCGGTAAAAGGATTGACCTAAAGTTTATGTTAATTTGGTTGACAGTTCTTTACAGTAGCTTCATGCATTTGTCTTGTTGAGGAATGTTGCAGCTTGATCTTTTTTGCATGCAAAAAGAAAGGCGTGTGTCAACAAAGCTCACCTGACGACAACACCGAGTCGATCCGGCTTCAGAGACGCAAAACAGATTGAGATGTCAGATTAGATCAGCATTTGTGCAACATCTAGTCATAACACAAGTGCTGCCAGGCTCCAGCGCCTGCAACCTCCGACAGGTGCAGAGTAGAGCTGGTAAACACAGCAGTGGACCAGGGCTGCACCATTAATCACAATGCAATTGACATTTTTGGGGTTGTAATCAGCAGATCCCAAAGACTGGAATTATTTCAAAAGTTTGTACACAAAACAGACCAAAGATCATCCAAGTATTTTTTGTCAGGTAGAAGCATTATTTTCTCATTCCAATTAATACAATGTATACAAGCCAAACCTAATTCAAGTTTTTCAGAATTTTGATGAAAACAAATTCAAGCAATAATGCATGTATATGCGTATATTCAATATTAAATTGCTACTGAATATTTCATTTCTCAAAAAAAAGGACTAGAACTATAGGCTCCTGAAATGTGTAGGAATTGTATAGGAAGTAATTGCTTCATATAAAGTGTTTTTCGCATGTATATAAGCAAATGTAACTCTCGTCAATGTATTTTTACATTTTGACTTTTTAAATATTGAAAATTGCCAGATTCTTGCAGTCCTAGACCAAAGTGACTGACAGTTTCCTCTTGTTCCTGAGGCGGGCCCCGGTGTGTACAAGCCAAACGGTCACTTTTTTGTCCTAGAGCAGTGCATTAGTTTTACGACCCTGGGCCTGGGATGGGATCGTTGGCCAGCCACTGCACTCTCTGCTGTATTATTCATATGTGCAAAGTGGTCTTAGTTAATATTTAAAAAGTTGCTTATGATGCTCAAAATCCCAACATGAGACACGGCGAAGGAGACACAGGAGCGTGGGAGGTGGTCTGTGATTACTGACCTGTGTGAATCAGACACCAGAGAAGATTAAAGAGTCTATATAGGCGCATGCATAAGTGTATCAAGGAGAAAAACATCCTCTGAAAATATTGGGCTTTCCTCAACTAATAAGTAACAGCTCTGAGCCAGGAAAAAAGCTGGATCTTGTATCGTTTCCAGGATATTGGCTCAGTTTGTCTGATCAATTGACGTAAACATCTTGAAAACTGGCGGCCGGTGATGTGAGGCAGAACGTCTCCTGATATACACTTGCTTTCATACATGTTGGCTTGAGGGTTGAACATTATATACTCAAATGAATACATTCATTTAACATTTTACTAAAGGAAAGTTGCTCAGGTTTTTTCAACAGCTCTTTATCAAGTTTTCTTTTTTCATTGTTCATCTTGTTGAGCGATTCATGCATGTTTCAGTATTTTCTAATTTTTCTCTAAGAGGCCATTGCTTTCTCGTGGCTCTGTGACGATCGCATCACTGCAGATTGTCTTTTCTGAACGGATGTTTCAGCAGCATTGCACAGCCAGATAAATAGATGTCTACATCAGTCTACAATAACAATTCTTCTTTACTGTTGGTCCAGTTTTGGTTCAATCCAAACATGATTTAATTAATATTGTTAAAAATATACAAATTCATGTTGAAGTCAGCACATGTGTTGAATGCAAGCACCAGTTAGACCCGCCCCCACTCCGTCCTGATTGGACACAATGAATTCCTACTGGTGATGTCTGGGCAAGGACTGTCCGTATATATATTATATTCATTATGAAAAGTACTTAATAATGATGATAATACAGGGTCATGTTGTCTAAAATATGTATTATTTTCTAAATTTAATACAATTGAAGTTGCAGATAAAATAATTATATTGGTCAAAATACCTCTGGAGTGTAAAAATGGAGATGGAGACATTATGGAGACAATGTAGTAAAAGCGTAGCCCCTACCCCCTTCTTTATAACATCTCATTCTCAATACTGCTATTTCCCATGAATAACAATGAGCAGTGGGCATCGCAGATTATCCCTTTACAGCAGACAGAAGCATGTTTTGTCTTTCTTTGGACTGACAAGGCAATGAACAAAACGTGAAGATCAATTTTAGCTTAAACTGTCTAACCTTGGACTACAACCAATCCAGGGCTCGATTTGTTATTTTTTTATGGCAAACCGTTGAAATGCTTGTACCAGCACAAAACGACCAAAGCTCCACAGGTTTCATCCCTTCCAAAGTTTGAGAAACTTAATGGGGTGATATGAGGTAATGCTTTTTCTGTACAAATGGAAGATGGCAGAGAAATGAATCCATGAGAGACACAGTGGGACAGATTGATCTTTAGGCATCGCTTTTAAATATCCTTTGTAAGAAAAGAGCAAAGCAAAAAACTTCATAGCCGTGGCATTCAAGCTTCGTTAAGCCCCTGGCACCGACAGAGCGGCGCGGAGCCAAGTGGAGGGAAGAAACAGGTGCGCAAAAATTCAAAAGGATGCATAAGTTAGACTAAGGTTAGCGAGGAAGCAGTAGTTACAGGCTGGGGATATACACGCGGGGAAAAGAGACACAAATCCACCGGAGGGATGTTTTTATTAAGGCTTTCATCGATGCAGAGCGCTCCCCGTATTAGGAGCCGACATGTTTTAATGCTTTGCCGATACCGCGCATGTCCGACCAGGCTATAAATCTGTGGCCAGCATCAGGGGCTCTTTAGGAGGGCAGCAGCAGCAGGGTAAATGGACCACGGGCTGACAAGCAGAGACCCGTGCCAGCAAGACGATGTAATTTAAAAGAAGTTTGAAGTGATGATGAGATTTGTTGTTTAGACTGGTTTGTAATGTTACATATTTCTGATAGCGCTTCTTGTATGTTATGGCAGCAGTACTGAAATTATCCTTGGTCACGGATTTGAACAACTTACCTGAGGGATCATTTTGTTCATAGGCTGGTGTATTTACCTTATTTTGTGTATTCTAACTTTCTTTAGGTGGGCAATTATAAAAATGTTTTGTTTTATTTTAAACCATGAAAAGACCAATCACATGTTTACTTGCACCTGGAAATATGAAATTGAGTTGTTGTAATAATACTGTCAAATAATCAAATATGATTAATTTATATTATTGAATTATGTAGAAAACACAGAAGACTAGTGACCGAACACAGGATGATTTTTATATAGGATGAGTTTTCATAGTGTTTCACAAAATGGACAAACGCAAGACATAATATTCAAGTGATTAGGCCTTTAAGGTCACGGCAACTTCAGTCATCTCTCATGTTTGGACTAGCTAACATCTGTGGGCTGGCGTCTTTGTTGTGATGCAAATATAAAATGCTTTCCCTTCATTCTGTCTGAAGAAACTCTGAAAGAACTATGAAACAACTGGTGTGGAATTGGAAACTGAGATAAAGACCCATGGGCATGTCCCAAAATTGTTAAATTGTTAAAGTTCACCCATATATTTTTTCCCCAGTCTGGCTACATATTCATTGCAGCTAACAAGTCAGATCTGTGGAGACGCCAATTCGGTGAAACTAAAAGATATTTTGAGCAAACACACTCCTGAAATAGAATAAATGCAAGGTGTTGTCGACCATTCCAGGCAAAGCAATGGCGTCTCCAGGGATACGAGTATGTGCAGAAAGTTACAAAGCACACTTTTGAAATACTATTTTTCTGTCACTATTATTGAGCATCTGAGTAAACACGATATCCCATTCCAGATGGCTTCTCGTACCTGTTAAAATATTTCTAGCCAAACATCTACACCGGCTCCATTTTTTGCGACCCAACTGTCGAAAAACCCATGCTGCCAACGTTGTTTAATTTCACCGACGCCACAGCTCCGGCCCAATTAAAGAGAAAACCCCAAACTGCAGGCTTGAAACAGCCAATGAAAAGAGTTGAATTAAAGTTAACACAGGAGTGCGGAGAGGGGGAATGTGCTCCAGCAGAT